TTTTTAAAATAAAATAAAATAAATATATTTAATAATATTTTAATTAAAAAAATAAATAATTAAATTTAAATCTAGTAAATTAAAAATTAAGTATAATAGACTTAAAAGTTAAAACTGAGGGTGTATTTTGTTATACTTGTTGACTGTAATGGTTTTTATTTTTTTATTTTTTAAAGAGGTTGGATGTGATGTTAACACCTTATCGTTAATGGTTTCATTAGTTTCTGGTTTGACGCCGGTTTTAGTACCCAAAGGAAAGAGTCCTTGATTTTCTCAAAACATACTCAACTTTGTAAAAAATATTAAATCATCTGCAAACGTAGGATGAGCCAATTTCAACCCCTTGCAAGTTGCAATGTTAATGGTAGTGCAGTCTATTTTAAATTGAAACCAAAAATTTGAATTTTAAACTTAATTTAGTTATAGATGACATGTTTAAAGATTAGTAATTAAAATCTTATCAATATTAATCTTATGTAGGAACAGAGATTAGTTGCATTGATTGTTGCTTCAGTAGTTGACCTGTAAGGAAGAAATCCTGCGGGCTAACATGTGTATTGTATCCTTCCTTACTACGTGCCAAGTCTCTCCTTGAATATTTAAAATTAAAGGAAAACTCATCAGAGTCGAGTGGAAGAAATTTGGTTCATTTTAAGTAAGATCTCGAATTTGAATTTTATGAATGAAAAAACAGATGCTGAGAGAGTTTACCTTTAATAAGATTTAACGCAACTCGATTCTAAATTAATCAAAATTCAATATAGTTATCAAACATCAAAAAGTTAATAAAAAAAAAAAAACCTTTTTCTTCATTTCTAATATAGAAAGTACTATCTTAATTAAATCCTTACCTTGTGCCAACTATTATCTTCCAAATGCACTTGGGTCTCTTGCCTATTGATCATAGGCCGGCTTGTAAGGTGCATTTCCAACCCGAGGGCTGAGGTTCGATTCCCCCCTCCTCCATTATTGTAACCTTGTTCAAAAAAAGAAAAAAAAAAAACTATTATCTTCCATATACTCTACAGCATAGTCAAGTACGTCAATCCCTCTCTTAAAACGTCCCCTTTTGTGCCCAACAACTTCTTATAGAAACCTATTGTATTTCCTTCTGAACAACCTCCATCTTATTAAAGCCGCTCATCTTGCCCAGTACAAAAAGAGACACCTTTGTTTTAGCCCTTTTCGGGGTTTTTTTTTTTCATTTTTAGTCTTGAATAATATGATTAAAAAATAGTTATATTTTATTCTTAACTCATCTCACTTATATACTATAAAACTTAACTTTTAAAACGTTCCCTTTAGTTTTTAATTGAGCATGATATATATTGCCAAAGAAAGAATATTCTTTATTCTGGAGGTATCTCAGATCATTCAGCAGCTAACGTAGATTGCTTCTTTAGAAGATAGTCAAAGGCCACAATTTTGCCGGTAAATGTTGCAAGATGTGAAATGGTGAAGGAAGCCACAAGTTTGACTTGAATATTGGATTAATCCACTCCCAGTCAGAAACCACCTTGTCTAACTTACACCACACCATGTTATAGAATTAGGCTCCATAAAAAATGGTATGGGAATAAGGGCTATGGTTATAGCCAGTGACGGAGCTTGACAAATATACCGGGGGGCCAAAAAAGATTTTTCCAATCACATTTAAAATAATATAATATGCATATATATGACCTAAAAAATAAATTTAATACCTAATCATCATTTTTATTAAAATCAATTACATGCTAGAATAAAAAAAATAAAAAAAATGATGCTTATCTCTTAAAGTAATGCTCATCTTTTTTTAAAAAAATTAAAATCCTTGATAATTAAATTAAAATTAAAATTTTTTGCAATCTCCTTCTCAATGCAAAAAAATCAAATTGTTAGAAAAAAAATCATCTCCATTTGCCTTCTAAAGTCTTGTCTTGATGACCAACCTCATTATTGAAAATGCCCTTCTGTAGTAGCTATGAAGATTGGAAGAGTTAAAACTGGATGAATTAGTCTATCGAGTAAATAGTATATCTTTGACTTTTTTGTTTCCATCAAAGCTCGGCTTAGTTCTTGAATTATGGAGTGGTCTTTCAACTTTGGATGCTTGAGATATATTAATGAACTGCTGTAGTTGAAACTTCAAAATTTTCTTCTCTTGCTTTGCAAAAATCCAATGGATAATATTTTTTCACTAAAGTGCATATATGAACAACATCAAAAGTTCTATAAGCATTTTTAAGAACCAAAACTGCACTAAAACTTAAAAATTCAACCATATCATCACTAAACGTACCATTCAATTTGCTTGCAACTACTTGTCAATCATCAAAATAAATATTTCCACTCAATAATAATGCTCTATAGTGATTTGGTCTTGTTGATGATGAGCTCGACCTATTCGTCCAATATAAGTGGCACTCAACTTTAGAATTTAGAATTTTAGACTTACCTTCTTCAACCAATACTTCATCACCAATAGAAGTTGTTTTAGTGGTTTTCTTTGTAAAAAAGTCACTAATAGTCTTATATTTCCCCATTGAAAATTCAACCCTCTAATAATATTAATTTATAAATAATACAAGAAAAACTAAAAAAAAAAAAAGTTTAAGTACTCAACAAAATAAAAAAATAAACATGATCTAATAGCAAAAATTAAAATAATAATTTTGTAATCAAATAAGAAGAATATTAAACTAATAATAATTCTTAAAAAGAAGAAATTATAAATATTTAATCACTTAACAAGACAAAAAAAAAATACACTTTAAAATGTTAGAAAAAAAATTAATAGAAACAATCCTTTAATTGACAATGAAAAAATTTAAAGTAGAAAAGCTGCAATTTTGGCATCACGATAAGTGAGTGACGAGGCTAGGGATTTTTCTTCCGAGCATGAGGCTATAAATAGTTGAGTTGCTTTGAGTTGGGCGTAGAATTGGACTTTTATTTATCTACTTAAATGGGCTAAAATATTAAACTTCGATATTTTAATTATGTTTCTCTTAAATATATTTTATAGTAATTTTTTAAAAGAATATTTTAATTTATATATATTAATTTTTTTGGGAAAGGGGGGCCATGCTCCCCTCAACCCCTTAAAAGCTCCGTCCCTCGTTATAGCCATTCTTAAATTTATTGGAGTTATATAAATTGCTAATTTTTATTTAATTTAACTATTAAAAATTAATCAATAATTAACAAAAATAATTAATATTTGTTATGTAAATTAAAATCTTTTTGTAAATAAAAAATTTTAAAATATCACAATAATCAATTGTTTAAAAAAATTATAAATTAATAAAATTACAACTAAAAACGTGTGATCTTAATAAAATCAGGAGTGGTATTAACCACATCCGGGGATCAAAAATCAGTTAATTATGCAAAGATATGTTTTACCATCAAATGTGTTTTTTATGACCTAGAGCAGTATAGATAACTAGAGGTGAAAAATTAAGGACTCTCTTATGATGGCTTAAATTATATATTATTGAGAAAAAAAGTTATTAATAATTGTATACAAGTTTCAAAACCAACTATTCTTAACAATTTAAATTCAAAATTTTTGAGTATACATGGATCTAAGCTTAAATAATTATTAGATTAGTAGAAACTTGAGGTAAGTCATTTTAATTTTTGTTGTGTATTGATTGATAATAAATTAATTACCCTCCAACAGACTGGATTCATCCATCCTTCACTGATGATAATGAAGTTACAGCATCCTTCCAGGAATGCAAATTGGTTCGGGCCTCTGATGGATTAAAATAAGTTGCCTTATACATTTGTTAATTTGCAACAACCTTCTCTGGATGATTTAAATTTGGCATAATATTTTCTTAAGCCCCTATATTAACTTTATTTTTACATATAAGCGCTTGAATCACTTTTGAAGCAAATAAACCCCCTTAACGCCTCGAGATGAGCCAAAAACTTCAAATGTTAGTTGAGCTCTGCACGTAAGATTAATGCCCGTCCCCCTAGTGCTTTTGTGGCACCTACTTTTCGTATTACATGGATAGGCTGGATAGCAACTAATTAGATAGAAATAGAAAGCCAATAAACACACATATGGTCATGCGCAGAGATCCATTGACTTTGTGTTTTTTTTGTTCATATTGATAAGTTAAGGGTCTTATTTGCTTTAAAAGTAGTTAGAATATGCAAAAATAGGGCATAGTCTAGGGGCTTGATATGCTAGGATTTTGCCTTTTTTAAAGCATGTAGTTAGGACTAAATTTATTAATTCTTGGTTTTAGATAATGAAATGACGTAGCAGCTTCAAATTTATCTATTAGTATTTAGTAAGTAATTATTATTTTATAAATTAAGTTTATAATTTAAATTATGGGATTAATATTTAAGTAAAAAAATTAATATTTTTAAATATATCAAAATAATATAAGACATATTTTTAACATTTCTTCTCAAAAATAATTGAACCCATCCGAACAACTAATAATAATGCATCTCCTAATGATACAGCTAGCGTTCACTATTAAAAAAGTGTAAATCGCCAATCATGATACACGCATTATGCATCCATATATTGTAAACATTTTTGCTAAAAAACAAACTTGTTCAAGAACTTGAGGCAGTAGTCAGAAATACCTAATTAAGTTCAATTTTATATTTTACCAGTTAAGGAATTGTCAAATACTTAAATTGTACGCATGTCTTGCTTCTCAAGCCAAAAAGACATGTACAAGATAAGCCTTTCAACCTTAGGGAGCTCATACCCAATGGAGGCAGGAGCGGAGGCAGGGGCGAAGGCAGAGGCAGGGGAAGGCTTACGGGTCCAAAGTGGATCTTCATTCAGGATTGGAAGTTGGAGGTGCAATAGCTCGCGGCTTGTATCTGAGTCTGTATCTGCCGAGTGTGCAAGAATTGCCAAGTACGAAAGGCTCTCAGAATCAGAGATCCTGACTTACGACCGCACCATAGATCATGCACAGACGAAGAGCAAGCGTCTTGGATTTCTTGGAAAGATATTCAGTTCCAGAAAAGCTTCTGTGGAGGTGGAAGAGAAGAGGAAGAAGAAACGTTCTTCGTGGCTTCCGGATCCTAAGAGGAGATGGCCTGTTCAAGGTTGGGGATAAATATTAATCCAAGTCAACCTTAGCACATATAATTTATGAAGTTAATTTTAGTTCATTGCATTCGCGGAAAGAAAAAGAACATTGTAAATGTTGCCACTTTGCCCCTTAATTTCAAAGAAATTTCCGTTTTTTTTGACTATCTTATCTCGAGTTTGTCGCTGCACGCGCTTCTGCAATCCTGTCTGCTTGGTAATTGAATTTGAAAATTCATGTATAACAAAAGTATGTAAAATCATTCTTCAAGTTATATTTGTGTATTGGGTTTTTATACTACACAAATTAATGATATAATTATTATATATTTTTAACATTAATTAATATTAAAAAATATAAAATTTATCATTAATTTTATTATCAATACTATATAAGTATTTTAATTAAACAATTACTTAAATAAAAATTAATTTTTCTATCAATTTTTATTTTTTAAAAAAGAAATAAAAAAAAAAAAATATAATAATTTTATCCGTAACCAACAAAATAATCTATGTCATTAATATCATAAGTTAGGAAAACCCTTGTCTATTTAATCTTCATCTCCATCTCAGGATCAAAGAGTTAATAAAGGGTGTTTAGATTATTTAACATATAGGTAATGGATGATAGTAGCTATCACAATTGATAATTGTTTACAATTAAATACTTATGTTTTGATTAGAGTAATCATTTGATGATAAGTTATAAAATAAAAATATTCTTTTTCCGTCATATCCTTTTTTCTTTATTTATTCATCTATTCGTTTATAATTAAAGAGGGTTAAATTTATTATTAACTAAATAATAACTTGTAGATTAGATTCAAAATTCAAGTTTTGAGATTAACATTGAAAAAAATTTCTTTTAACCAATATGATGTTGCACTTTTAAAATTACCTTAAACACAAAAAAATGGCACTAATTCTTTTGTTCATGGATAAAATTTAATGTCAGACTTTAAAATTACAATTTGTAGCAAATATGCTTAAAGATAAAATGCGAATGGAGTGTTCTACATAACGAATCATTAATCAATGGTTAAATGCTAAATTTGGTCCCTTAACTTTAAGAAATGCTCATTTTTTATTCCTCAACAATTTTTTGCACTTTTTTGATCCCTCAACTCTAAGAAATGCACACCGTTAGTCCTTCTGTTAATTTGGACCGTTAACTCCGCCCATGTGGCATTTTTTATATTTTTTTTTGATGATGTGGAGGGCAAAATTTAAAAAAGTGATGATATGGATAAAATGTTTTGCCACGTAATGTTACTGTCACTGAAAAGTGACAAATCTACTCAAATTGTCTCTTGGCAACTTGTACTCCGAGGTTTCATTCATCTTCCTGTTCGTTGCCTCTTACCCATTGTAGAAGAATCTCGCTCCAATAAGCTTCTTATTACATGAACTCGATCCAAAATCCTTCGTCGTCACGCACTGCCCTTTCCATTTCGCAAGAATCGAACCCAAATCCCAGTCATTAAAACTCTGCCACTCAAGCCATATCTCGGTATCAAAAACTCAATCGCAAGATTGGACCCAAAATCAGATTCCTTGAGTAACTTAGCATTGTCAATGGTTTTGAGACCTAAAAACTCAGGCGATCTTGTTGTCTGCAACCTCCTAACCTGCTCCGGAATGACAACAACCACATGGGGAAGTGTTTGGAGCTTCAACGCCTCCAAGGAAGACAACTTGGTGGAGAACCCATGAAAAAAAATGTCATAAGTATGGATTATGTTGGGGGCCTCGGTGGTGGAAAGTACTGAAGCAAGAGAAGACTCGTACCAGTGCTTATGGGTAGCAAAAATTGAGGGTTTGGCATCCTACTGAACCATGACAATGAAGGTTTTTTCATCAGCCTATAAAGTAGAAGAATCAAACCCGAGCTGGGTTTGGTGGAACCCAGTTGCTGGGTTCGGTGGAAGAAGAGGAAGAAGAGAAAGAAAGAAACAAAAAGAAAAAAGAAAGGAAGAAGATGGATCGAAAGAGGGGAAGAAGATGGATCAAGAAAGGAGACAGAGGTATTAAGGTAAATTTATAATTTTTTAATTTTTTTATTAAAGCAAATTTAGTTTATGAGGTGGCATTGACACGTCATAAAAAAAATTCTAAATCAACACTTTTTAAAGTTATTTTTGCTATGTCATAAAAAAAAATATAAAAAATGCCACGTGGCGGAGTTAACGGTCGAAATTGACAAAAAGACTAACGGTGTGTATTTCTTAGAGTTGAGGTATCAAAAAAGTGCAAAAAATTATTGAGGGACCAAAAATGTGCAACTCACTAAAGTTGAGGAACCAAATTTAGCATTTAACCTTAATCAATAAGTGTGGTTATTGTTACCATTAAAAAAATATTAAAACTATTAAAATTTTAATTTTTTTAAATAACATTTAAAAATGTCAATTTATCATCTGATTTTAATTTATTAATTAATAAATATCAATTATTTTATTATATATTAGTTAATAATTATAATTATTAATTATTTTTATTTATTAAATTAAATAAAATCAATATTTTTAAAAATAATACTTTATCATTATAGTGATTTTACATTCTTTTTAATGACCATAACCACGTCCACACCTAAACCATTTTGGCTTGTTTGAAACCTTGGACTAATCATTGGAT